AGAAGACATGAAGCAGGAAAACAATCAGATTTTTAAAGGGCTCAAGTCAAAGAGATTTTAAGAAAAGTGAAACAGACAGCTGGTAGGTAGCTTCCGGGGAAAATCATCAGGAATCATGTAACAATTATAAATTTTACAAATGCTTTGATTCATTTAGCAAACATGAATCCACAGGTTACTTATTAATCTTCTAATGAGAAATGAGCCACCGAGTTTATTGAAATTGTCAGGGCAGGCTGATTCCCAAAACAAAAAGGAATCAGCAGTAAAAGTCTTAAACAAGAAGAGGCTGAGTGTTTATTTTGGGTGACAGCAAATTAAAAGAAAGGGAAATTAGGAAGAGAGCATGTTACTCACCAGCCTGTCCTGGGAGGAAAAGAACCAAGGAATTGAGTCAAGCTGTTCAAATCCCTAGGGATTTCGGAAAGGAACGGGGGAAAAAAATAAGAGATAGACATGGGAGGGAAACCCAGGGCTGGAAACATGACCCATCAAGTACACACTGGCAAGAGGCCCAGCTAGTTCTTCTTAAGAACTAAATATCTGTCTGTCTTCAGCATACTAAATTATCTGTTAGAAAGTAGTTGCAGCATTTAAAAGATCAAGAGCAAAGGACACTTAGAAAATTCAGTTGCACATGTAAACATTTACCTAATTGCTGCCTTCCTTAGTGTTGGTGTTGACCAGTTTTACTTTATTGGCAAACTCTATGATTTTAATGATCCACTATATTTTACTAGAAATATGTGAAAAAGTAATTTACAACAACTGGAAAATACAGATGTTTGGTGGTTAGGATTTATCCCCCTATTGCCTCTGAAACTGAAGGGGTTTCAGTCTAAGCTGCAGGGCTTGATTGTTAAGTAGCATGCTCATGTAAGAGAACTTAACGTGCTGATAATCCACTAGTCTCCTCTATTCATAGTTAGAGTTGCTTGATCTCATGTTCATCATGTTCAGATTGAGAGACTTGCTTGATCTCATGTTCAGATGGAGACTCTCTCCAGGATGTCAATCTGATTTTATAAACATTGATCAGAAGAAATCAACTCGGTATACAAAGTAGATTTACCTTCTATCAATATTATTTCTAGGCCCACTATAGGTTTTAGTTCATTGTATTTCATTTCCTTCCACCTCTTGCTTGTAGTAATGCCCTTTGAGTTTTATTGTGCACCCCACTATATGGTTCACTTCAGAACAAGACTCCGTGGTTCACTTCCTTCAGGAGACCACCAGTCCACTTCCTCTGAGACCAGATTCTGGACCCTCTTCCCAGGTGCATGGAAGAACGTGTGCTCTGACCTCATTAGAAATTACAAGATCAATACAAACAGTGGCAGACAAAGTCGTGGGAATCTCCTAAAGATAGAGAAACATGAAGAGGAAACAAGAAAATTTAAAACCAGTTCTGAGAATCTATTATCTGAATAACAAGCTTTATGAAAAATAGGACAAATGAAATAGAAGAAATGACCAATTAAGAAAACTTCTTAGAACTGAAAAAACAAGGGTCTGGGTGTGTCCAGTATGATAATGAAATAGTTATACCCAGGCACATTGCTGAAAAACCTCAGATCCGTAGGGCTTGAGGGAAAAGCAAAAAGTTACTGAGAGAAGAGAAAATTGTATACACAGAGGGATCAGAAGGTAAAAGACACAAAACCAACTGAAAGCTAGAAATTAATAAAGTAATATCTTTAACATGCTGAAGAAAAATAATTCCCAACCTAAACTTCTCCAAGCAGAAAATCCATAGATATTTTTCAAATATTCAAGGACTGAAAACATTTTACAAAAATGGTGAAGATCTTTGGGTCCAATTGGTAAGTATAATTAAAAATAAGTAAATTTAAAATAAGACAACCCAGGACATGCAGAAATTTACGCAGAGAAGAAAAATGGTATGTGTATATGGTTCACTTATGCAGAAACCATAGAGGTAATAACAAGCACTTTGCAATGTTTTGAATGTGCCCCCCATGTTATGTGTTGGAACCTCCATTCTCAACGCAGTATTACTGAGCAATAGTGGAGATTTTAAGAGGGGATTAGGTCATTAATAGGCATTAATGTGGTTTTCACAGGAGTGGGTCCATTCTGGTAAGAGTGTGCTGTTACAAAGAGAAACTTCCCCTCTCATACATCTGCTTACCTTTCTGCTTTTGCCAGGCTTGAAATTGCATGAGATTCTTGCTGCATAAAGTTCTAGCATTTCCCCACCTCCGGAACTGTGAGCCAAAACACTTTGTGTTCTTTATACATTATCCAGTTTTAACACTTTGTAATAGCAAGAGAAAACAGACTAAGGCACCTACTTATCTACTGTTCTAATCAAAATTACAATAGAATTATATTCGAAGGTCAGGAGAATAAGAGGAATGTATATGAATGTGTGTGTGTGTGTGTGTGTGTGTGTGTGTGTGTGTTGGAGAAAGAAGAAAGAGGGCTAACTTCTTCATCTTCCAACATAGAAGTCCATAGATAACGCTACAACTGAAGGGAAAGAAAACAAGGAATAGAGGTAATATGCTATTATTCAGAAATATTGAAGAAAATGCAAAAACTAAAAGTATTCACTTCTGGAAAAAAGAAAGTTGGAGATGGAGGCAGGAAGCAATAAGGAAACACTGCTTTTCTTTACTAAGTTTTAAGGCTTTTTGACCCTTGAATTTATAGACAAATGTAATATCGATTAGAATAAATAAAAGAAGAGACGGAGGCCCACCCCACCTGGGAATGTGGTAGAATGGTTGGATTCAGTATCTAAAGTTATATCAACTTAAGCTGCATCCTGGTTTCACCTTTATTTTTGTGACCCTGAGCATTTTAACCTCTATACACTTCAGCTCCCTCAATTTCAAATGGAAATAATCAAAGGTTTATATAAGAATGGTGCTATGAAAGGACAACAAATACCAGTGACAAAATGGAGAAAAAGGAAGCCTTACACATTGTCTGGGGGAATGTAAATTAGTATAGTCGCTAAGGAAATCATTATGGAGCTCCCTCAAAAATCTAAAACCAGAAGCATCGTGTAATCTACCTATATCATGATTCAACAAATACCCAAGAAATTAAAGTCAGACTGCAATAGAAATACCTGCATACTCATGTTTATCACAGAACAACTTGTAATAATAGCTAAGCTGTGGAAACAATCTAGGTACTCATCAATGCGAATGGATGAAGAAAATGCACACATAATGCAGCATCATCGTCATAAAGAAGAATGGAATCGTGCCATTTGCAGGGAAATGAATAGAACTTGAGATTTATCCTCTTCAGTGAAATAAACCAGACTCAGAAAGACAAGAATTGTGTCTTCCCTCATATGTGGAATCTAGGGGGAAGGGTATGAAAAAAGAAAAGATGCTATAAGAAAAGAGGGAAGAGAGGAGGCCTAGGTGGAGTAATGGTGTGGATGGATATGACCAATATATTATATGCACGTATGAAAAGACCACAGTGAGGCATTATTCTTTATACTCTATATGCACTAATTTGAAAAAAGAATGTTGCTGTGAAGTTTAAGTGACAAAAGAACTAGGAAACAGCAATAGTTGGCACACTGTAAGCATACTTTCTTTCATCCACACATATTTAGAGTGAATATATATATATATCAGGCACAGTTGTAAACATTCAGGATTCATCAGGAAATAAAAGGATCTCTGCCTCAGTGAATTTTATCACAGTGAATGGGAAGAGACAGAAGCTAATTAATAAGCAGAAGCTAATTTGATGATACAGTACACCAAAAAGTGACAAGTGGCCCATGCTATGAAATGTAAAAGAGCAGAAGCATTGGATTGTTAGGAAAGGAAAAGAGGGTGTCAAGAAAGGCTCACGAGGGGCTGGCAATACAGCTAAGTGATAGAGCATTGGTCAGGCATGTGTAAGGTGCTAGGTTCCATTCCCAGCATCACAGATAAAAGGAAGGGAGGGAGGGAAAAAAAGAATAGTTCTTACGAGAAGCTGAGCAAAGACTTGAAGGAGACAGGGTACTATGCATAGTTTGTGACGACTCACAGGCTTCGAGGTAGGTGTGTGCGTGGCACATTTGAGAGGAGCCCAGAAACCTGTGTCGACTGAGCAGAGTGAGTTCCAACAGCAGAAGATGAGGTCGAAGAGGAAGCAAAGGACCACATGGATCACGAAGAGCCTAATAGGACTTTAGAGTTTAGAACGAAACAAGCGGCATTTACAGGGGATTGAACGGGTGATGTGCTATGATTTACCCTGCAGAGATGGATCTAGCTATTGCGTTAGAAACAGCATGGGAAGCAAGGGTGGAAGCTGGAGACTGGTGCACTAGAAGGTTCCTGCGGGGCACCAGTCAGGGAGGATGAAGGCGCAGACTGGCAGAGCTGGAGAAAAGTGACTGGATTCCGTAGACTTCTGACTAACTTGTACGTCTCATTATCAACTACCCAGGATTAGACAGTTAGTTCACGGCACTGTGCACCAGCTTCTTGTCTTTCACTGAGTAAAGAAAAACTATATGTGGAACATCTAAATTAAAGCACAATATTCTTTTGCCCTTATATATGTTATACAAATGTATGAGATACATTTCTCCTGCATAATGCCATCCCTGTTACTGTATAGCTCCTGACACTTCTAGACACTGGGACGGTATGGCGCTCGCACAAAGAAGAGATAATTTTTGTGCATGTGACCCTGTATCCATTTGTCCCGCCTTGCACATTGCCTTCACAGTAAGTGTTGTTTGGATTTAGGAACCGCTTTCGGTGACGATTTCTGCACTCAGTGAATGTGGATAAACAAAGAGTGGCTCCCACACTCAGACTGTATGACACACTCACTATGTGGGATTGGGAAGGAAACCTGAGAACGGGGGAGATGAGAGACAGGGAGGGGAAGGCGAGGTACAAAGGATCAAGATGAGAAATTATATACATAAAATGTACGCGCGCGCACACACACACACACACACACACACACACACACACACACACACACATCCAGGTGGTGTGTATCTATTATGTATTTCAAACATACGCTAGTAAAAAGGGAGGACTGAAAACACATATAGAAGGTGGCCGCTCTTCCAAAACCGGTCAGGTTCCTCCCGGGAGCTTCAAATGAGGGCAGCTGTCCCCCTGGGCTTGGAGAATGTAAAAGGCTTCAGGACGAGGTGACTTCGCTGGACTGCTTTAATTGGATACATCCATATCCTATTCTCCTGGAGGTGAAAAAAATGCAAAAATAAAAGCATGGAAGTACAACTTGTCCACGAATACAAGATGGACAGTGATTCTAGAAGATTAGCTGAAGTATCGGGCGTGAGGAGAGGAAGAATAGAACTATGATGAATAAGGTCAAGGAAGTGAATCTAAACCAAATTAAGGAAGGGCTTCATGCTGTCAGCTAGAGGACCTGGGGCAGGCGTGGTAACAAGAAAAGAAGAGAAGAGCAATTACCAGTACACTTGGCCAAAGCCTTGACCATTTCTCTGGCTGTGTTTCTCCCACCTGCCAGATTCACTCTCAAAGATTAGACTGCACAAAGAAATTTGGGGGGAAAATCAAAATTGAGCCAAAACTTCAATTTCCCACTTCAATGGTTTTTTTTTTTTCTTCTAAGATTTCTTTAACTTTGGAAATGTATTTCTCTAAACTGCTTTCTTTCCTTTCAAAGCCAAGTGAGGAGTAATAGTAATTATTCTTCCCTCACCTCCTGTATGGAAATACAGAGCTTCCCAAGTTTGGGGACAGCTGCACCATCAGCTGATCTAGTGACCAGTGCTGTGCTTCGTGTAAATTTGTACTGAAAACCTGGGGACAGAACTTTGACCGGACCACAATAGAGAAACTTTTTCAAATGCAGCCCTCAGTGAAACAGCCCACAACCAGACTTCACATCTCAGCAAATGCACCCTCTGCAGTAGGGCTAAACATATTTGTCCTCCTCCTAGAATCTCCTGCGTGCCCTCATAAGTAGAAAAGTAGCACATACTCAGTAGGCTCTGAGATGTTGTTCTGCTTTTCTGGAACCATATTAGCTGGATAGATCTCAGTTTTACGATGGCATTTCTGAGTGTTTGGAAACATTTGACAGAATACAACTCCCATTTTTGCCAAAACCAACAATAGCCAGCACTGACTGAGAGCATAGTCTGTCCCCAACATGTGCAATCTCTTTTCATTCAACAATGAATGCTATGAGGGAGGTGCAATCACCACATCCACAACCAAATGAGAAAACCAAGGCCCAGAGAAATTCCATGAATCACATAGCTAGAAGGTAAGAGAGTAAACAAATAGATAATGTTTATCTCTTCCTTTTCAAGCGAGTTTCTACAAGCAGCTCTTTCCTAATTCTTCCATTCTCCATCAGGGTACTCTTTTGGATCTGGAAATGAAATCCTCCATTTCTCTGGAGGAAGGAACATAGTTTGTGTCCTAACCTGAGCACTTGCCAAATAAGCCTGTGCTCTAGTAGATTTTAGCCTTTTTTAAAAAGAAAAAAATACATATACCCTGACTTACCCTCACCCTACACCACCATTATTCTGTTATCTTATCAGAACTCTCACTATTTTATCACAAGAGCGTTTTTATCCCCAGTGAATTTCATCATTTTCAAACATCAGATTAACTTGTCACCGTGGGCCCGTGTGCGCCCCTCAAGAGACCTTAAAATCACAGTGCATCAAGACCATGCTGGAACCCCACAATACAATCCAGACAAAAGCTGAAAATTAAAACATCACTACTGGAATGAGAAAGAAAAGTAAAACTGTTCTCCAGCTGCATATACATCTGTCCATTTCTTTGAATATTGACTTTGGAATGCTGAAACACTGCCATCATTTTATTGTTTATGAATCTGAATACAGAAACATCTGCTTACAAATGCCTGGAAAAGCCCATCTATGATGCCAAGCTAATTCAACCAGCATGGTCAGAGGCCTTTTATTAATTTTGTAGAAATTTGCAAAACAAGGTACATTGCCCTTATACATGAATGAGCTGTGACAATTTAATTTATCTTTACTTTTATTAGTTTTATTGGTATATTTAATGTATACAATATAATGACATTCACTGTTGGAAATTTGCACCTTTACATAATCAATCTTGCTTCTTATTTTTTCCCCATTCCCCTCCCTTCAACCCCTCCCTCCCAATCTACAAAGACTTTGTTTCCATTATTTTTCATTTTCTCATATTGATTCCATTCCCTTCTTTCCTTTCCACTTCCTTCCTATTTACCCTTCCTCTGTCACTTTCTTCCTATTTCACACTATCTATTATACTTTTTAGTCCTTGTGTAACATTCAGTTTCTCACTCTAGAGAAACTCTTCAGTATTTACACGTGTCCTATATATTTCACTTGAGTATCACTTCAGTGTGCATCCATTTAGCTATAAATGTCTCTAACTTACCATTTTTATGGCAGAGTGGTATTCCATTTTATTTTCTAAAAACACGCGCACTCACACATTTTTTTTATCCAGTCTCAAGTTGATGGACATTTGGGCTGCTTCCAAGTTTTAGCTATTGTAAGTTGTGCTGCTATGAACACGGGTGCACGTATATCACTGTGGTGTGATTCTTTTAATTCTTTAGGGAAGATACCCAGCAGGGGAATAGCTGGATCAAGTGGGACTTCCAATCCTAGTTCTTTAGATATCTAGTTCCTAGGTATCTCCATACTGCTTTCCATAGTGACTGCCCCAGTCTACACTTCTACCAGCAGGGCAGCAGGGTTCCTTTTTCCCCACAGCCCTCTGCCCGGCATTTGTCATTGGTTGATTTCTTGATAGCAGCCATTCTTTCTGGGGTGAGGTGGAATCTCGGCGTTGTTTTCATTTGCATCTCTCGAATAACCAGTGATTTTAAACATGTTTTCATATGTTTATTTGCTACTTCTGCTTCTTTTTCTGAGAAATGTTTGTTCATTTCAGATGCCCAGTTTTGTATTAGGTCTTTAAATTTGGGAAGTCTGATTTTTTTAAGTTCTTTATATATTCTTGATAGTAGTCCTTTGATAGACCTTTGATATTCTAGATAGTAGATCCTTTGTAGATCAGCTGGTGAAGATTTTTTCCCCACGTTGTGGGTTGTCTCTTCACACTGTTGGCCATTTCTCTTGCTGTGCAGAAGCTTTCTAATAAGAAGAGATCCCACTTGATTGTATTAGCTCATGGGCAACTGAGGTTTTGTTCATAAAATCTTTTCCTACACCAATGGCTATGACAATTTTAATTGAATAATTCATCCATGCAAGTTTGATCCAAATAGTCCATATTTTCCTATTTATGTAATCAATGTTTTTTTAAAATATGCACTCAGTTATTTTTATAGATTAAGAAGAAACTAAAAATCAACCTCTATTTATATCTCTCTAAATTACCTTCCAAATTCTGTCATTGTGTCATGTCAGTGTTCTATTTTGTATTCTGCTCTTTCTTTTTTTTTTATGGTACCGGGGATTGAACTCGGGTCCTTGTGCTTGCAAGGCAGGCCACCAAACCACTGAGCTAAATCCCAGGCCCCTATATTCTGTTCTTTCTTCATTGTATTTCATATTCCTTTGTACCTAAGTGGGTACCACACTTGCCTTGTTTGTATCATGGAATAGTTATGTGGTACTCCTGAAGTTATTGCCCTCTGAGTTTTGTCTTTCTGTTGTTTTTGTTTTTTGCAATTGGAGTTGTATCCTATTTTTAAAGAGTTGTATTTAATATCATAATACACTCTGTGCATTTTCTTGTGGGTATAGCTCTGTACAGCACTAGCTCCAACTACATTTGAATTTCTTAATCTAAACTCTTTGATTAAGGAAACTTTAAATTGAGAGCCTAATTAACACACACACACACACACACACACACACACAACATGTCGTGGCACAGGAACAAGCCAAAACCTAAGTTTCCCTCCCTTTTCCTCCAGGACTCCTTAAAGCCTATTCAGAGCCTCGCTACCACACATTTTCTAATTATCTTATTTCTTTTCTCACCTTTCTGTGAATATACATACTGTCCTCTCATCTTGGTATGGAATTGGCTGTTACTGGTGTTATGATACATTTATATAAATTTGTGCAACACCTATAATTTTGAAATTATATTTTTCTTATGTATAGCATATATAATTTTGTAAAAAATTTCATCCAGTATTTTGTCATTGTTTTCCTTTAAATTTTGTCCTATTATCATTGATCATACAGAACATTTGTTTAGCTCTGTGTATCCAGAGTCTCTTGAATGAGGCTCAGAGCTAGAAATGCTTCCAGGCAGGAAGTGCAAACACAGTACCATGGCTACCCATGGGACAGTTCTCAGGTCGGATCCCTACCAAAACCAGAAAGACCACACAGACAGCCCCACACAGGGCCCGTGATGATGAGTCTGAGAGAAGCTTTGCTCAAATGTTAAAGCCCTGACCCCCAAAGGAATTCAGCTGGAATAGAGCCTATGTAAATGTGGTAATGGTCTATTGAGGGCATAAGGGTGAGGACCCAAATTGATAATACTGGTGCTTCTTTAGGAAGAGGAAGAAACACCAGCGTGCTCTCTCTCTCTCTCTCTACACCATACAAGGGTGCAGTGAAAAGGCCATCTGCAGTCTAAGACCAATCTCTTACCAGAATCCAGTAGACCCTATAGAACTATAAGAAAATAAATTTCCATGGTATTTTGTTATGGCAGCCCAAGCTGACTGATGTGTCATTCATTTGGGATTGTCTAATGGTTTTCTTCGCATAATTAGACTGGGAGTTAGGGTTTGGTGTTTGAGGGAAGAATATCACAGAAATAAAAAGCCATTTTTATTCCATATCAAGGGTACATGTTATGGTTATTGACATTGATCTTGATTACTTGAATGAGGCAGTGTTTATCAGGTTTCTCCACAATAAAATTACCTGCATTCATCCCCCACTTTTTATACTGTATTTTGCAGGAGGAATTTACCACAGTCAAAGAAGACTTCTTAGACGCTACCCTTCTTAGACGACATAGTATCTACATAAATTATTTAGAATTCTTCAATATAAGAGATTTGTATCAACTCCTTTACTTCATGTATTTATTCAATTATTTATTTATATAAACATGAGCTCACAAATATATTTTTTATGATTTGAGTTAAAATCTCATTTTTGGTGGGTTCATACACAATTCTATTGCTGAGCAATATTTCTATGTATGAATATATTAGAGTTTAATTATC